GTAAACGCGTCAGAATAGCAAATCGGCCTGTAAATGAATTATTGATAAGGCCCAGGAATGCATTATTAACGCCGCCAAAAAAAAAAGACGCTTAAATGGAATCCTTTTTTTTTTTTTTTTTTTTAAAAGATGAAGATATAATGTACGGTATTTGATTGATGTGTTGCAGCAGTGAGGATAACAGCATGGAGGACGAAAGTGAGCCGCTCTCCAAGAGACACTCGGACGGCATCTTCACCGACAGCTACAGCCGCTACAGGAAGCAGATGGCTGTGCAAAAGTATCTGGCGGCCGTCCTGGGACGAAGGTACAGACAGAGAGTGCGCACTAAAGGACGCCGGCTCGCCTATTTGTAGTGCAGCCCTCCCACCCGCACACTTTGTGCGTGTATACGGTATAAATGTATGACCCCCCCCCCGCCCCCCCAACCCGCACACACGCACACGCAGCCAGTGTCATCCGCCCATCATCCATCCACATGATATAGCAAAGCGGTGGATTGCGCCTCTGTGTTCTCCTTCGACATGATGTAATTATGTATGACGTTAAGACATTAAAATGAATATTTTATTAATAATATCGTTTCCCCCTCACCCTCATTTTTTTTTTTGCTACGAGAAAAAAAAAAGGAACTTGATTAACCCTCCTGTTATTTTGCTGTCAAATTGACTCCATTTAAAGTATAAAAGAATACCAAAAAGTTCAGATGTTAGCATTTAAAATGCAAGGGGGAAGGATGAATAATGAGAATGCTTTGGGGATTATTTCTTTCTTTTTCTGACTCTGGCTTCTTGATAATTACACATCGGTGCCCTGGGTCAGAATGATCCATTTTCAAGTAAAAAAAAAAAAAAAAAGAAATCCTGAATAAAAAAAAAAAACCAACAATGAAAACAAAAAACCCAAGGCAACACTTAAATGGACTCAATTAGAAAAAAATCACAATTAAAATACCATTTTCAAACAGTTTGACGTAAATAAACACGCCCTGGGTCAAAATGACCCATTTCAAGTTAAAAAAAAAGAAATCCCGAATAGAAAAACAAAAAAAAAACCCCAAACCAACACTTAAATGGACTCAATTAAAAAAAATTGCAATGAAAATACCACGTTCAAACAGTTTGACATAAATAAATACGCCCCTGGGTCGAAATGACCCATTTAAAAGTGAAAGAATTTCAGGTTTCACATATATACATTGACATTGTTAGTTGTTGAGATAATCATGACATTTAAAAGATGCTTTTTCACACCCCTCCACCTTCTCCATTTTGGACACCTGTGGCTCAATAAACATGACCCGGGTCAAACTGACCCATTTCAAAATGAATGAATTGCACATCATCCGATCCCATATTTGTCATGAAATCGTTAAGCATAGTGTTAACAATGACCTATAAACACTCAGTGTGATTCCCCCCGCCTTTTTTGAACAATTTGGGATGATTAAACACAGTCTGGGTCAAACTGACCCAGGAAAATGATTGCTAGTCGTAACAGGAGGGTTAAACTCAACAGTCCATGGATGAATATCTATTTATTTTCATGTTTCAAGATGTTTGAAAAAAAAAAAGAGAAAAAAAGATCATAATTGTGCACCTTCAAAGTTATGTGCTTGAAAAGAAAAAAAAAGTCATCTATACATATATATATACATATAAAGATATATATATATGCAGAGAAATAAATAGATAAAAAAGACAATCAAAGTATTGAATGTTATACTTATTTTTGTAAGCTATTTTTTTAAGTGTTGTTTGTTTTTTGGACAAAAACAGGCCCAAAGAAGTGGTGAGCATGCTACATATCTGTGTATGAGTTTGTGTGCGCGTGTGTGTTAAACACTCCATTGAAAAATTATGATTATGATTATTATTATATTTTTTTTATTCCTGCAAGGGTGCCTCAATGCTGCTCACACTTGCACATGTGTGGAAAATATGCGTGCGCGTGTTTGTGTCAAAAGTGCGCTCGGCAAAAAGGAGTGCAAAATCTGCATTTACTTGTTCGTTATTTTGTGGAATAGCTGCATGCTCTTGTATTGTTGGCAGAAAGTGTGTGTTGTGTGTACATAGCAGGGATTCACAAACTGTTCGGCAGCTGGGTGCATGGGGGTGCGCAAGATTAAAAATGTCATGCCAGTTGACATCTACGACGTGTGCCGCCCTCCCCGGGTGACATTTGTTCACAAAGTACAAAAGGTTCAAGATCAGTCATTATTTTTGATTTGATCATCCGTAGTGTTTTGACGCAAGGGGTGGGTTGGTGCGCCAACTATGTCAGGTTTGTCAATCAGTCGGGGAATTTCGTGTGGAAATTTGGGTGTCGACCTGCTGATAAAGAAGACGCGGGTAATCAGAAGCTGTTAAATAAGAGAGAAGAGGGCGGGCACATAGTCAAGCGCAAAAAAAAAAAAAAAAGTTAAATAGGATTTTGGTAAAAAATACATGAGCCAAAATGCAGTACAGTGACTGCTCCATCTTCTTCTCCGCAATCTAGTGATGTTATTTGTCCCCCTGTTGGTTAAACAGCAAAGTGGGGGCGCAGCAAATCTGTTGGGATGCAGAAGGGGGTGCGTGGCATAAAAAAAGTTGTTTATCTATGGTGTTAAAATTAAGGTACAATTTTTTTTAGGTGGGAATTTGGCCAAAGATCACTGGAGGCACAAAAGCTAAAAACAAAAAAGAAAACTCGGTACACATTCAAATAATGCATTTTTGTTGATCATGTTTGATAAAACTATAAAAAATAAGGGGAGGGGGTGCGCCAGTTATGTCAATTTGTAGGGCTTGTCATTTGTCATTAGCGATTTTGTGTCGGGAGTCTAGGCAAAGAGATGAGGAAGCGACCACATAAAACAGAGGCTATTACATAAAAGAGAAGGTTGGCACACCTCCCAGAATTTTTCCCTCAGCGTTTCGGTTCAAATCAGGTATCCAATATGCACTTTGGATACTGCTCATCTTCCTCTGCGATGTCAAATCAACAATCTAGTGGTGCGTGCCCAACAATTTTGATTTTTGGGCTGCTGTTTTCAAGGTCAAATCGAGAGAGGCAAGGGGGTTGCATCAACTGTCGAGATGCGTAAGGAGGTGCGTGGCTTACCAAGTTGGTGGCGCAAACGTTTTTCAAAACTGCACTTCATCGTTGCAATGATTTCGGATGGAAATGCCCGAGGCAATTTTTAAAATCACGCTTGCATGATTAAACAAAGCAGAGTGGGGGGAATCCGTGAGTGCAGGAGACAATCTGAGGCTGTTATATCACATCGAAGGTTGGCGCACCTCCCGCTTGGGTAAAATTGGAGTACCCGCAACGCACTTCATCAACTGCCCGTTTTCTGTGATTTGAAATCAACAACGTACTTGTATGCACACCTAACTTTTTTTTTTTTTAGATTTGGCCACGTGTTGATTGCCTTTGCAAAATAACATTTCGGAGAGGGGGTGCACTGACTTTTTTGAAAGGAAAGTTTTTCCAAGATTGCCATTCATCAAGAGGATTTGGGGAGGTCTAAAGATCATTTTGAGATGCGCTGCTAAATAATGATCAGCATTTCCTTCAAAATAACTTTTAAGAACATTTTTATTATTTTGTCACATGTTACAATAACGTTTGCTTGATGAAACGAGGCAGAGGAGGGTGCGCCAACGCCGGCGGAACGTTGAAGGAGTTAAAAGCAAAATTGTATAGACGACACAATAATGACTTTGAGATTCAACTTTTGTTTTGCTAAAAAAAAAAAAAATAGAGAAGAAAACCCCCAAAACAAAAACAGAGCATCCTTATAGCCCCTGAGGTGCGTAGCATTATTTGTTGGAACCCCTCTGTCTTGAGATAAGGAAGAGAGGATTGCGTTCTAAGGTTGTTACATAACAGAAAAAATGCACCATTTCAGTCCAAAATGACACGGTTAATCCTGAGCACCCCGAAATGACATTTGCGCACCCCCAACGGGGAATCTCTCACAATTTGGGAATCCCTCTATCAGGAGATGTGAAGAGAATGAGGGCGACACACCTTTGCGCACCTCCATTGGTTGAATCGGAGGCATCTTTCCCATCCTACCTTCATTTAAGACGACTCAAAAGTGCTCGAGAACGGCCCTCCCCCCAAATTTCGGCCTCACCCGACAGTCTTTACATGGCGTGAGTGTTTCTGAGTGCGTGGAGTGCATTTATCGGACGGAGTTGGAGACAGCTCCTGGCTTTTGGTGGCTCGCTTCGATGTGAAAAAAAAAGAAAAAGAAAATCAACAAAAAACAAAAAAATTAGGTTGAAAAGAAAATAGATGAAAAAAAAATCGCCACCAATGACAGATGGCAATTTCAGTGGCCCTACAATGCTGCAAAGTCCACGATTGAAAGTTTTCCCGTTTTGATCACTTGGTCTTGGCCCAAGCGTCGTAGAATTAGCTCTTCTTTGTTTTTTGGGTTTGTTTTTTTTTCACGCATGACCAATGATTCATTGAGTTCAAATATATATATCAATATATATGAAAAAAAATTGAATGTATATGTCAATGGAGCAGGAAACGTGCGTGTGCGTGCGCGCGCGTGTGTGTATGTGTGTTTGTGTGTGCGTGTGCATGATTTCGGGGTGTTTCCGTGTCTGTGGGAGTTGTACAAAATGACCAGTGTTTGTTATTGTTGATGATAAGGTGGTGGTATTTATTGATTTAGTTCTTTATTTTGGCTCGATATTAAATGAGAAAAAAAAAAAGTCCTACTCGATCATCATTTCTATGTGCATCGCTATATAGAAGCTCCCCCCCCCACCACACACACACACACACACACACACAAAACAAGGGGTAGTGATGGTGGTTGGGTGACAAATGCCTGTTGTTATCTTTGTGAAAGCGCCAAACGCCTTACTTTCAATGTTGAATGGAACCGTAACTAGGAAAACAATGTGTTTGCAAAGTGAACCCGAGTCGAAGTTGAGTGACGACGCACGCACAGGATTCCTTTGCTTCCGGAGCTGTGGGAAGAGGGGGCGGGGGGGTTGACCTTTGCTCATTTGTCAATCAAAGTGTTGTACGATTTGTATGAATAAATTTTTTTGTAAAACAACATCTCCTCATCAACGTGTAATCTTTGAAGCGCAAATGATCCGTCCGGCGACGCGTCGAATTCGCACGCGATCCCGGCGTTTCTGAAAGACACTCCAAAACCAAAGAACAAAACAAAAGGTCGAGTTGACGGTCTCGCCGATCAAAAGCGAAACCCCGAATGCACCGAATCAACCTGGCACACAAACGCGCCGTACTTTGAACGCCACTCAAAAGTCATACAATTGGGGGCGGGGACAAACCCATTTTATTTTGTTACCTTGTCCATCAAAAGTGACACTCTGTGGACCGTGCATATTCGCAGTTCAGTGTTCCCAAATTCAGCTCTTGGTGGTTTTTTTTGTGCTATTTTATTTCCCAATTCTCGACGGACTCGATTTTTTGTCTTTTTATGGTGGCTCTCCAGGCCTATTCACACTGCACTTGGTTTCCTTGGTGTTCACCGCGGGGCGGGGCGCGTGGACGATGGTGATCCTTTGCAAGCTCGACCACACATCCGGTCAAGCGTCGGCTCAGCGGCTTAGCAGAAAATAGCACGGATGGTTCCGCCCGCCGCCGGTTCGTCCAATGCTGTTAGCATAACGAGCTCCCTGCCGTCGCCGCGCCAGAGCGGAACATGTCCCAATGCCACGCGCCTTGCCAAGTGCGGTGTGAAAAGGCTCGAAGAAGGAGGATCAGACGTTCGCCGTTCCTGCTCGGGCTGATGAAATGAAACCTGAAATGCGCCCAACCAAAGCTCGGGAACCAAAGAGGCACGCTAACAAAGGCCTTACTTTGGCGCCTCACTTGTCAAAAACGAATCCTCAAATACATCCAAGGAAACTCCAAACGTCCCGAATGGAACCTCGAATGCGCCGCACGCATCACAGACGGACTTTGAAAGAGAACTGCCTTCAACCCCCGGCACACGCGCGCGCGGCACGGAAGAAAACGCGCTTGGAAAGATGCTACGAACCCAAACAAACAAACGGTGGGCTTCGGCGCTTGCATCGTTCAAAACGAACCCTCAAATGGACCAAACGAAACCTCGAATGCGCCTCAAATGCACCCGAGCAAGCAACACCAAGACATCTCCCCTCCCCCTCCCATCCTCTTCCTCCCCCCCCTTCTTTCCTCGGCCTTGACGGTGCGGCCGAGTCCCGCGGGAGACGAGAAAGGGTGTGGCGACGCTGTGTTTGCGATCTGATCCGTGCGCGTGCGTGCGTGTTTATGCAGCAGAGCTCAACTAACCCAATCAGAGACGTGTTGCATGGCAACGCTGCGCACAAAGGGGACAGACACGCTTACGTGCACGTACGTGTCCACATGTTTGCACGCACCAAGAAGTAGGTGGAGCGTGCATACTTTTGGAGTGCGACCTTTGACCTCGGCGGGATGATGGTGGTGGTGGTGGGGGGGGGTCTTCTTCTGCAGCGGCGGAGGTGGAAGAGAGAGAGAGAGAGAGAGGGAAAGCCAATGTGTGACGTGTGGAGAAAAAGGAATGAGCTCACACACGGACATCTTTGTTTCCTCCCTCGGAGGGTGACAGATTGTCGCCTGTCAAGGTTTGCGCTTCCCGTCTGAGGAGCGGCACCGTGCGCGTCCTTTATTTAACGTTACACGCGACATTCTTTTCAACTTGACACCGAAGCCGATAAAGAACGCTGTCCTTTCGGGCCCCTCCTTTATGCGACCGCGTTGCTTTTGCGAGTACAAAAGGGCCTGGCATTTTTCGTGATGCTTTGTTTTCTTTTGTTGGGATTTCTGTTCTTTTCATTCAAACATAGGCGGCCCGGTGGTGAGCGCGTCGACTTCGCAGTGCGCAGGCACCGGGTTCAATTCCAGCTGTGGCCTCCCTGTGTGGAGTTTGCATATTCTCCCCGGGCCCGCCTGCGTGGCTTTTCTCCGGGTACTCGGGTTTCCGCCCACCTTCCAAAAACATGCACGGCAGGCTGATTGAAATCGTCTCTCGCTTTGAGCGTGAGGGCGGATGGTTGTTGGTCTCTGTGTGCCTTGCGGTTGGCTGGTTTTTAAGTACGATTCCCAGAGAGGGGGGCTGACATGGCCACCTACTGGCCTGGCATGCAAATGACAGCGCTTTTCACGCAAGCAGCACCAAGATACCTTTCGACACGGACTTTTCCGGTCCTGAGACGTTCCACCGCAGACGAGTTGAGATTCACACCGGTCCAGAGGCGAAGGCAAACGCCCACCCGCCCGGAGCCGATCTGTAAACGACGCCCGAGTCGCTAAGAGCCTCGGTGGCTCCTCCGCGCGCCTGCGAGCGTCAGCCGAGCCGTTCTCGTCAGCATCTCTGAGGCGAGGGGAGGAGACTGAAACCCGGTAGGCGCCTCGGGGTACGTCTCAATCACGTGGCAGGCAAAAGCGGGGAAAGGAGGGGGCGGACACACCCATTTTTCTTTGTGTGTGAGACCAGGCCGGGCCGATCGGTCTACATGCGTGTTCCGAGGATCTGCCGTAGTATGAAAAAAAGAAATACAGTACATTTGAAAAAAATGAATAAAACAGAATTTTCCTTCTATCTTGTTTTAGTGACAAACAAAAATATCCGGCAGGTTCATTTCTTTGAAATGATGCCAAATTCCAAAGTTTGACTGTGGAATCATTTCACCGTCGAGGGTGCCTTGTATTCGAAGAATAAATTCTCCAAATGTTGCTTTCGAATTCTAAATTTAGGAATAAATGTCGTGAAATTATATTGCAGGTTTTTTTTGGGGGGGGGTCATTTGTAATTTCTCAAGTGAAAAATGCTGAAAAGAATGGTTCCATTTTAATTCAACATTATAATACAATCATTTTGGAAATTTCAAAATTTTTTTTGCTTGACTTTTTAATTTCATGAAGGAAAGATTAATGTCTGAATTTTGCAGGGATGAAACGATACACATGCCATTTTCTGGTCCTTTTTTTTTCTAAATATCTCTTTAAGCTACGTTACCAACTATTTAATTATGAATTCAATGGTCCCCCCCCCCCCACCCACAAGATCATCTGGATGTTGTAGAGTTGTAATCATCCCATGTTTTACCAACAGCACAATGCCTCAATTCTCCTTTTTTCTTTTCGCTCTGGCAGCGCTACTCCTCAATTGTACTCTAATGAACGAAGCGGGGGTCACGTTTTAGGGAATGAATGGGGTGGGTCCGGTTCCTGGGGGAGGCCCCGGGGAGGGGGGGCCTGCCTCCCTAAAGTCCCATATCGTGGCTGGTGGTGTCGCATGTTTCATTAAGCGGCAGACAGCGTGCGGTCCCACTGGGAGATGCAGCGGAGGGAGGCGTGGCCAGTTTTTACGGACACGGACCATCGCTCACTCGAAGGAGGCTTGTAAGGGGGACGGGTTTCAAAAAAAAAGAAGAAAAAAACACCCCCAAAAAGTTGTTTTTGACTGAATTTGCACATTCAGTATTTGTATTTTGTTTTGGGTTGCGCTGATTCTAAATCAATAAATCAATACAACAGAGAAAGTCGCTCACCAGTGACTCCGGACTTGAGTAGTTTTTGTTTCCACTGAATATTTATTCACTTTAACCCGTCGGAATTATTGGGAGGACTACTTTTGACTTTTACTGGAGTACTGACAGTAACACAACTCGTACTTTTGCCCCCCGGTCTGTTGTCGGCGCGCGTTGCTAGCAACAAACAAAAGGGCCCGCTCTCAAAGACCCTTTCGAGGAGAGGAAGCGGACACTCAAGAGCACAAGCGCTTGTTCTTCCATCATCCTCCCGTTCCTGGAGTACCGCTTCTTCCGAAACGGGAGCCGGCGGGTGACTTCTTGAACCCGCGCCACGAGCCAAACAACAACTTGACGCCCTCTTCCGGGGTTGGACAAATAGCCGTCTCGCCGGTCTCCCGTAGCCGGATTCATTGAGGATTCACTGTGCAAACACTGAATAATGGAACACGGAAACAGGGGTGCCAACGCGCGGTGTGAAATTAGTGAGAGAAATCATCTATTTTTGTCTCCACTTCTCCTGCCTGCACGCCGCTCGCTTCATTACTGTCCCCTTTTTTTTTTTGTGGTTGACGGAGACTTTCCTGAATGGGAGGAGTGTTAATTAAGAAGGAGAAGAGTGAGAGATGCTTATCACAGCGACTGCGATGACTCCAAGTGGAGCCCACGCGCAAGCTCGGGGGCGGCGTGTCGTCTTTTAACAAACACAAAGGGGAAGAAGGTGCGCCTT